GAGGGGGTGGGGCGTGCGGCCTCTGCAAAGGGGTGGGCGGGGCTCTCGAGCTGGCCCCGCCCCGGGCTGGGGGCGCCTTGCGCATCTCCGCCTGGCCTGCGGGGAGCGCGGCAGCCTAGGCAGGGTATGAAATACCCGCTCTGCGCCTCTTGGCCAATCCTAAACCTGCCTTCAAGACGCCCCTGCTCGGGAAGCCCTCGCCCCAAAATGGTCCCGGCCCGCCTCTCCCGGTATGGCCATCCACTTGGTGCGGGTGGTGCAGACCTCTCTGCCCCCTCATCTCGGGCCTCGCTGTCCCCTCCTCCAGCCCGCTCCTGCCCGGGAAAATGCCCGAGTGAAACCAGAGGGATACCCGCCCCACCCCGTCGGCCCTGCATCAGCAACCTGGAAGCGGGTGAGCTGCCGCCGCCTCCAACCTCCCGGCTCGGGAAGGGACCATGGACGCGGCCAGGCCACGGCGCGGGCGGCCGGAGAGTCGGACTCACCCTCCGCGGATACTGCGGCGGAGAGCAGAGCGATGAATCAATGGGTAACCACATCGGTATTTAAGAGTTCACTCCGCGCCATGGGGCTTCTGCGTCACGGCTGGGGAAAGTATAGGCTCTGGTGGGAGGTTAAATAATGACTTCCCCCAATTATTAGATGCCTACTATGTGATGAACCTTGGGTATTGTCTGCACACTCGGTTTATTATTAGTAATGATAACAAGGGTTAATAATTATAGTTGCTGAATTTTGGCCAACGCTGGTACGTGTGCTTTGTATGCATTACCTCATTTTATCCTCAGAGCAACCCTGTGAGGTGAGTATAGTTTTTATCTCTATTTTCCAGAACATAAAATTGCAGCTTAGGTGAATTAGTCCAAGATCTGTAACTGCCAGAGGTGGGATCCACACAGATGCCCCTAGAGCCCGTACTTTTTTGTTGTTGTTTAACTTTCAGAGCCCTCTTTTAAAATAATAATTTTTATTATTTTTTTTATTTATTTGTATTTTTATTTTTTTTATTTTTTTTTAAAAGATGACCGGTAAGGGGATCTTAACCCTTGGCTTGGTGTTGTCAGCACCACGCTCACCCAGTGAGCGAACCGGCCATCCCTATGTGGGATCCGAACCTGGGGCCTTGGTGTTATCAGCACCGCACTGTCCCGAGTGAGCCACAGGCCGGCCCTAAAATAATAATTTTTAAATAAAGTATAATACATATAGCTAAAAAAAAAATTAAATAGGACAAAAGGTCTTATGATGAAAAGCAAAAACTCCCTATTCACCCCTCAATCCAGGGATACTGCTTAAAGCCATTTGTATTTTCAGGCCTATGATTACCTCCATATCGCTATATAAAATGCTTACATAGCTATATCTGGATTTATCAGGACTGGTTGTCAGCACCACGCTCACCTAGTGAGCGAACCGGCCATCCCTATGTGGGATCCGAACCTGGGGCCTTGGTGTTATCAGCACCGCACTGTCCCGAGTGAGCCACAGGCCAGCCCTAAAATAATAATTTTTAAATAAAGTATAATACATATAGCTAAAAAAAAAATTAAATAGGACAAAAGGTCTTATGATGAAAAGCAAAAACTCCCTATTCACCCCTCAATCCAGGGATACTGCTTAAAGCCATTTGTATTTTCAGGCCTATGATTACCTCCATATCGCTATATAAAATGCTTACATAGCTATATCTGGATTTATCAGGACTGGCTATTATCTATTGCCTTCCTGCTGTGATGATTTAGCTCTCACACCCACTTCCCTCCCTCAATCTTGTGTTGTCATGCTATTATTTTGAGTCCGTCTATTTCTTCTGAAACCTTTATTTCTTCTGAGGGAGACTCTCCACAGTACCCTTGACTTTCCCCTCTCCAGGCCATGTCCTGAACCAGGAATACGGATGTGGGAAACAAGTAGCCCAGGCACAGGAACCCCACGAGAGCACACCTATCACAGGCCAAGTTCTGACAACCTGCCACCTTAATTCTTCGATCAGAAGACTGGGGTGGGGGAGTCTTAGGCACTGAGCGCAAGGTCCAGCATCCCTGTGGGTAGCACTTAGCTTTGGAGACAGTCAGATCTGCCTTCAGATCTTGGCTTTCTGCCACTTAGTTGCTATAAGACTTGAAGTTTAAGCCAGCTCTCTAATCTTTCTCTGCCTCATTTCCTCATCTGGAAAATGGGACAATGATTCCTACCTCAAACAGCTGCTGAGAAGATGACATGAGAAAATATTGTCATAGTGGAATTCATGAAGTAGAAACCATTACAAATGATCCCAGGGCATCTGATCATCAAATACAGCCTTTTTTCTGATTGTAAAAGTAATTTGGAAAATACAGAAAAATATGAAGAAAATAAAAATGAATCATAATTCCACCATCCAGAAATAAACACTGTCAACAATCTGTTGTATTTCTTTCCAGTCTTTTCTCTGCACCATATGTTGTTTTACATACATTATGGGGTTTTTTCCCCTATGAGATCAACTTTTGTATTTATTTTTATTTTTATTTATTATTTTTCTACATTCAAAGGTGTTGTGGAGCACTGGGAGGGGCAGGTAGGAGGGGGGTAGGGAAATGGAGGTGGAGGTGGGGAGGTGGGGCTGGCCCACAGCCAGCACCTTCACTGGCCTGCTTGGGGTGGGGTGTGGCTGAAGCCCTTGGGCCCATCCCCCACTCCAGCTTGGGAACCCAGGGGACTTCTGTGGAGGCTTGATTGTCTTGGGCTGGATGTGGTTGTCAGAGGGGCATGGCTGAGGGCCTTGGCTCCCCTCACCCTGGCTTGGGAGCCCACCCCCCCCTTCAGGTTTTATAAGTGTTTTTTGGTGGAGTTGGACCCTTGCTGGTTATCAGAACTTTGTCTCTGATCTGTGGGTGTTTTGTGTTTTCTTTCACTTCCACATTGGATTATTAGCTACCCCCACCACTTAAACTCTGCACGGAACTAATTTGTTGTCCTTGGTTACTTCTAAAATGGGGGAACTTCCTGTGGGAACCAGCACTTGAGCTCTGTGGTTGAACTAAATTGCTGTTTTGCTGCTGATTTCCTGGGGAAGGCTCAGGTTTTAATTGTTGACCTTTTAAGTACTTCTGGGTCTTGTGAAGTCTGATACACCTGGGTTGTGTGGAAATTGTGGTCTGGGCCTGAGTCTTTTCAGCGAAGTGCACCCCCCTGCAGATCTGTATTCCTGACCAGTCTCCACTGAGTGGGCCTGTGCTGATTGGAGGGCAGATCAGTTGTCCATGCTGTGACCACTGTTCCCCTGATGGTCCCATCTTCTTCACCACCCACACTCCAAACACTTCCCAAGGGACGGGCCATGCACCAGCCTCTGAGTGGCTCCTTTTTTCAGCTGTCTGTGGCCCCTCGCTCCTATGTGGGTCCATGGGAACCCTGTCAGTGGTCTTGCCGGCCTGGGGTCCACCAAGGCCCTCTTCTCCCCTGCAGTATCCAAGCAACTTCATAGGAAGGGCACAGATGTGGCTTTTGCCAGCTCTTGCTCCATGTGCTCACCAGGGCCAGCCTTGAAATGGCCAGGGCTCAAAATGGTCAGAGCGGTCCCTTCTTTCCCACTGCAGCTTCTCCCACCTTCATGAACTCTGTAGGTTTCTCCTCCTCTTCCTCTGAGTGCAAGCAGCCACAGCTTGGCGGTCGTTGCTTTTTTTATCATAGTTGTAAATTGGTTAATTTGGGAGAGAGTGACACTGGGGACATCTATTCCACTATGTTGATCTGGAAGCCTACATTACGGTTTTGAGGCAACTAGAATATAATGGTTAAACCTGTGGGCTTTGGAGTCCTGTTTCCACCATCTACTTTATATGTGTTACTTCATTTACCCCTCAAGACAGCCCTCTTACGGCAAGTGCTGTTGCTACCCTCGGTTTCACTGATGAGGAAACAGAAGCAGAGAGCTTGGGTAACTTTCCCCTGGTCTCCAACTGAAAAATTGCAGAAACTGAACTTGAACTCGGGTCTGAGTGACTCTAAGGCCTGTGGCACTCTGCCCTCACACTGGCTTGTTGGTCATCTAAGCACTACATCAATTTAAAGTGGATAAAGCAGAAAGCATTCTTATATCCATTTTACAGATGAAGAAATTGAGGTACAAAAAGGTTAACAGACTTATCCAAGGTTACAGAGTCAGGATAAAGCCCCATCTTTTAGAGTGGTTTCCCCAAGGGCTTTGCAAACGAAGATACTAAATGTCAACTAACATACATTTGTCAGTCTCCTTTAATGGCTCTGCTTCATCTGTTTGCCTACTCCAACATGACTGCTCCTACCTCCCTTCCTCCCCTCCCCCATGGTGTAGCCAGGCCTCAGGAAAGGGCAAAAGAGAACTCGGATGAGCTACTCCCCCTCCTGCTCTCCTTCCTCCTGCCCTGGCCTAAGCAGTTTGGCAAGCTCAGGCTTCCTGCTGGCTTGGGACTGTGGTGGCTGTAGGAGGGCAGTGAAGCCAGTCAGTGCTT